TATCATGCGTGGCTTTGGTTGGTCCTTAATTATTTTGTTATGTGTATATATTTTTTTTTCTTTCCTTCCCATTCTGTTTTATTTCACATTGTGAGGTAGAATATAAGTATAGAAATATTTGAGGTACTGTTTGTTGATAGGTGCCTCCAAAACTTAGAAAATTTGGTAGAGATAAGTTTAGAATTTTTTTTCCTTTTTTATGGTTCTGTGGATGGGATCCAGGGCCTTGTGCATGAGGGTCAAGTACTCTACCATTGAACTATGTCTCTGGCCTAAAACTTTCTTTGGGAGGATGGATATGGGGAGGAACGAAGAATGATTCTATTTGCCTTTATTTTTTAATTGTACTATGATACTAACTTCATAAATCAATTTTCCTCATATAGCAATATGAAGAATTCAATTCATATTAAAATACACAGTGACAAAATAAAGATTTCAGTATCATTGTTCAGAGAACAGTCTAAATTGCATGTGTCAATTTAGATACAGGGATTTTTTTTTGGATACAGGAATATTTTTAATGTACAATTTTATGTGACAAAAGATTCTGAAATGTATTTGCCAAGCATCCAGATGTTGATATCCAGTGAAATATTGCCGCCCGATTATTTTCACCTCCCCAAATTTTTGATTTGTATGTATGATTTGCAGGGCTTTTTGATCAAGGATAACAATGTCAGCATCTCTGGGAAATGTTTTATGGATTCATTTATAATTCGTAGATTTCTTCTTCATTAAGAGATTTTAGGGAGAAGTTAACTATCATTTATTTTTCATTTGTGAAATTTACCCTCTGTGATGTTAAAATCTTACTGAAAATTCATTCCATAAGAGGAATGTATTCATTTGAACTTTTAAGATCTGGTAGTGGGAATTACTTTATATGATACATTTAATGTAGTGGTTTAAAAGTATTTTGAACCTTCAAAGATACCTTTTGTTCTATTTATTGAGCATTTAAGCACTAGTAATTTTTTAAGATACGGTACTGATTCTCCCTCTATTTTTTTAATAGCCAAGTTTAAAGGGAGCATTTCTAAATATAGTAATTGGTTAAATATCTTTTTTCCTCCTGGGTTTCTTTTTAGGAACTACTGACAATCAAAAACCTATAGCCGACTTTGGGATCTGGCTTTATTATTCCGCAACTAAAAGATGAGTTCTAATTGGCAGACTTCTGGCACTGGCACTTGTCCTCCTGTTTCTATAGAAACTGGGTTGGAGGTCAGAGCTGCACAAAGGGAAAGGGTAAGTTTCTCTTAATTCCATATTTCTAAACCCATATCTTACTAACTGTGGCATGGTGTCAGTTTCCACATATGGATATACATCAGTGAACTAGAGCTCAAATATGAACTGCTAATTTTCGCTGGAGTGGAAACTGATAGCAAGTCATTAAATATAATAGGGTTTAAATATGGATTTATTTTTCTTGTGACTCTGACTTCAAATGAACTCAATACAGTTCTCATTTTCAGTTATTTTTAATTTGGGGTTCATAAAATTGATTTTTATCTTAGATCTTATTCTACTGTACATTTCTGGTAAGTGAAAATTGGAAAATAAAATATATGCAGAGGATGTTTTAAAAGTCTGAATGGATTAGAAGTTTGTAGCGGTGATTGTTTCCATTATAAAATAGGTACTATACTAATGATCAGGCTTATTTTTATTTTAAAGAGAATAGTTAAACAATAGCAAAATACAAACAAAACAAAGCAAGGACATTAAAAATGATACGGAGTTTCAAACCAAATGATAGGGATTAATCGTGGTTGTTATTATTACATATTGTTATCTTCAGCGAAGTTGCTCAGATTACCAGATGTAAGAATGGAAGATTGATCAAACCATTAAAGAGAATAAGAAAATAATAATTTTTAAAAAATTAGAGACAATATCGAGTTTCACTACACAAGATGGTAGGAATTCACCAATAGTTGTTATATTATGATCAGTTTTTTTTTTTAGCCTCTCCTCCCTCTCAGCAAGCAGGACGAGTTTGCCTCTTGGGGTACTTACATTTGTTGTCACCCAGGCAGATATACCCATTATTTGTAGACCCTAAGACATCTGCCACTTGGTGAGTCATCCTATTGCTATGGCTTTGGAGAGCTGTGCTGTAGTAGCATTTAGGCTTGAAATTAAGGGTGGTAAGCAAACTCCTCTGATTTACAGGTTGGTGTATGTCAGCAACTCACATTAAACTCTTACTGGCTTTGAGATACTAGAAGAAAGACATTTGAGTTCTAGCTGTTTAAAAGCCACTTATCTCTTATCTTGGTCCTGGTATAATGTTCTTAACAGGCTAGAATTCTCTTCTCCCTCCTAAAAGAACATTAGTTGGTTGACACAGACCAAACAGTGGGACATCTTGGCTTTATTTCCTCTCTAATATTACTTGTAAAGTAGCAGAAGAAGTAAAAGTTGAAAGTTTGTCAGTGGGAAAATTCAACTCATTTTTTAAAATTTTACTTCATAAACCTTAGTTAATGTTTGAAGTAGGTTCTTATTAAAAATATTCTGCGCCTCTTCCTTGTAGTTTCTATTATGCTAGCCAGGGCTTGTATGAGGTTTAAAAAAACAAACAAACAAAAAAGAATTTATGAGGCTTTTTGTTTGTTTTTATTTTGTTTTTCTTTTGTGCTATCTGCTATCAAGTATCCAGACATGTTCTCTGCTCCTTAAGAGTAGACAACTTGTCTGGGTTTTAAAACCCAAAGTCCTAGATCTCAGGAGCTCCTTCATTACTGGCTAGAACCAGGTAGTTGGTCACCCTAATTTTAGTTCATTCTCTGCATCCCTGAAAAGATTGTTATTGATCATTTTGGGTTAAAGATTTCAGTGTACTAGCTTCTGTTGGAATGTACTAGGGAATAGGTTTTTTTTTTAAAACGACTTGTCTAGTTTGTTCAAGTGATCCTGGGTAATGCCATTTTTTTGCTCATAGAAATAAAATAGGAAGAATTTTATACTGATTTTAGAAGCTGATTCTAAACACTTTATTTTTCATTTATGTATGTGTTAAGACATTTGGTGATAATGTGAGACAACTGGATAGATATTATTGGCAAATGAGTATGAGTCAGTTACGTAGACCTAAAGCCTTATAAGATGGTTCTGGCTCAGGAGAGACTTCGTTTTTAAAAGTACTGGACTTTGATTTTATATTGAGATCTTCAGAGAAAACACTATTGAAGTTTTTACATTCTGTCTCTTAAAAGATTAAAATATTAATCTATGGGGTTTTTCTCATGTAGAAAGGGTGATTTTATAGTTTAGGTAAGTTTATGTACTCAGCAACCTATTTTTTGCAACATATCACTTATATTTATATGTCTAGAATATTTGAAAAATGTTACAAAATTATTTCAGTCCAAGTACATCTAACTGTTGCTTTGAGTAAATTTACAATAAGGGAATCATTATAGAAGACGAGCCAGGGAGCATGATCTAATCAGCATCAATAATGAGATTTAATTTTTCGTGTTTTTTTGTGTGTGCTAGGATTAGAACAAAGGGCCTCCATGTGGCTTTACTACTAAGCTCCACCCCCAACTCAGTAATTAGGTTTTAGAATTGGCTTTGATAAGAAAGAGCTTTGTAACCTTAGGCAGATAACTTAATATTAAACTGTTTTTGTTCCTTATGTATAAAATAATAATCACAGTACTTGTCCAAACTTCCTCACAGAATTGACATTGTAATAAGGTTATAGATGGGAAAGAACTCTAAAAATTTGAAAGTATTAAGTAGAGTTTTAATATCAGATAATTTCTTTTCAACATATATAGAAAATTTTATGATGGTGTGGCATTTTGTTAGAGCAGCAAGAAATCATACTGTAACCAATTTTAAATAAAATTGATAAGTATCTTACAGGAAAATAGGCTGACTTTTATGTTCAAATCGTCATAGCTTTGCTAGACATTTTTTTAAATTTCAAAGCTTACAATTTATAAACGTTACAACTAACTCTTTGTTAAAGAATTACAAGTAGCCTGTAGTTGGGCAGTAGCTTCTTTGATCAGGTTCAGTGAGTGTTAGAAGACCTTAGAAAGTAGATTATTTAGCAAGGACATTGTTGTTATACCATAGCAGATATGATTTGTAGTTTTTATGGAGGGCTTGGTTGTTAGGTACTTTGTATTATCCTTTTCATTGCAATCTAGACATGAAAATTATAAGCAAATTTGAGTTAAACATTCATTATAAGATAACTGCTTTGAATTAAATTAGTTTCTTAATTTGTTGTTGCTGTTAAGAAGCCAGAGTAATGTAAAGGGGAAAGTTTAGAGTTTCATGTCAGACTGTATTTGAATTGTGACACCATTTACTGGATATTTCTTTGGCCTTCAGTTTATTCATTTGTAAAATGGACATCACAGTGTCTTTCTGAGGTTTATTGTGAAGATTAAGTTAATAACTATATCTAAGATAAGGTGGAATTAATGAGAGTAGTTCTTAGTAAAACATTGATCTATCTTCCTTTCTGAGGTAGAAAACAGAAGAAAAAAAAAGTAGTAGATATTCTACTCTGCATGAAGGATGTTTTGCTTGGTGCAAGCATATTTTCATGTATTTTTGTATTTGCTTGATACAAACATGTACTCCACGATACATCTGTGGAGTAGTTTGGTAATAATATCCTCATTTTACAGAGGAGGAAAGTGGTGACCAAAGAAGCTGAGCAACTTTTATGAGATCCTACTGTAATGAGTGGCAGAGCTAAGGTTTATCAACTATTTTTGCTGTTTTTATGAGGTGTAGTATTTTTGTTTTTTATTCATATTATTTTAGAAGTAAAATGTGAAAAACATATTAGACATTTACACTTGAATAAGACTACCTACTGTCTTTGAGATAATAGATTTCAGCCCAGCTTAATTTTTTTTTTTTTTTTTTTTGTTTTGTTTTGTTTGTTTTGTTTCTGGTACCGGGAATTGAACTCACAACCTTGCACTTGCCAGGCAGGTGCTGTGTCACTGAGCTAAATCCCCAGCCCTAGCCCAGCTTAATTTGGTTTCAAAGCTTAAAGCCTTGGAGAATACAAAAATGAATAAAATACCACCTTGTTGGTCTAATGGACAAAATTGATAGGAGATCATGGAGTCCTCTGTTTAAAAGTTAGATAGGTTAGATAGGGTTCCAGATCCTGGGGAAAGTTTTCCAAAGGAGTGAACCTTTGAGTCAGATTGTAAATGATTAAATAAGGGTGTGTCTGATAGAAAAAGGCAAGTCAGTGGGATTGCAGCAGTTGGCAATGCTTGGACAAAGGATACATAGAAGGAAGGTATGGCATCTTTGAGCTGAAATGAAGCTTTCAGGCTAGGATTTTCTCAATAGGGAATCAATAGATGTTCAAAGGCTGAAAGATGGAATGATGATGATAATAGTTTAAGAAGCATTCTGAAGGAGGTTTTAAGGGAGATTGGTGTTAGAGAAAGTGTTTTTTTTTTTTTTTTTACTCATAGAGATCACCTAAATAATGGAGGGCTATTTATATGTTCCTGCTTATTCTTTTTTTTTTTGTTCCTGCTTATTCTAAGTGACATTATTAATTAGTTAACACAATTATCTGATATATAATAAACATCTTTTAATTTAAATATACTTCCCATTAAAACCACCTATTCAACTATTATAGAAAATTTATAGTTCTTTTTGTGGTACTGGGAATGGAACTCATGACCTTGTGCTTACCAGGCAAGTGCTGTGCCACTGTGCTATATCCCTGGCCCCGAAACTTGTAGTTCTTAAGAGACCTCTAGATATTTAACATAAATATTTTCAATACTCAAATGTAGTGAATAAGTAATGGTGTTTAGATGGAACAGCAGTGATATTGTTTAGGAGTACAATTACGATGTTAAGGGTTTTTTAAAATAATTTTTTATTTTTTATTACATAGCAGTACATGTTCATCATAGAAATTTAGAAACAAAATGATACAGAGAAAATTAGTTCTTATCAGTAAACAAAGATGAACTTTTGGGGAGGTGTATACCATTCCAATCACTAAGCAAATTTTGGGTATTCATTAAGATTCCAAAGTTCTAGTCAACTAGTGGCTATATTTAATACTTCTGTAAGTTAAAAAATTTTTTCAATTTAGTGATTAAATTATCTAGGTACAGTTGAGAGTTTGGATTAATTTCGTATACTTTTCTTTTTACTTAATATATAAGGTAGTTGCTTTAACTAATTTGCTCTTATTCTTACTAGGATGGATATTCTTCAGAAGGCCAAAATAAGGTGAAACAGAAAAACTATCTGGTTTACCTTCTCATTTTATAAACAAGGGATCTTCTTCCAAGCTTTTGTTTCCCAAAACTTATTTAGATTTTCTTTTGTTAAGCTTTTACTTGACTGTAGTCCTCTTTTCTTCTGGAAACTGTTCACTGTTCGATCTCTCAGCCAGTGGTACAAAGAAAAAGGAAAGTGAAGAGAGGAGATAGCATGTTCCAGAGAAGTAGAAAGAGCCGGTGTATGTCTCTGTATAATCATATAACCAGCCTGGAAGGAAGGAAGGATTTCTATTAGTGAAGCAAATCTTTCCATTAATAATTCTCAACCACTAACTGCCTTAAAAGAAGGGGCCTCCTGTATTTATTAATCTGTATTGTGACCCACTAGAAACTTAGTCAAGTATGTTACCTGCCTTTTTCTTGATGAAATGGAATAGTTTCATCTAAGACAGTTGTAAAAAAAATTATTGTGGACTCAGAATTCATTTCATCTTATAATGGATGTTAGAGAAAATTGGGAACACATACTTTTTCATTTTACAGTGAATCTTATTTGAAAACTGCAATTCTTACAAAGAAAATAATCCTGAATTTTACTACTGTTGCCAAAGGAAAAAAAAAAAGAGGTCCAATTGCCCTTTCTCCTTTACTAAACAAACATATGAGTACTTACTGTGTTCCTGGCAATATGTTGTGTTATGATAATATTAGGCCAAAACAGACATGGTCCCTGCCTTATGGAGCTTAGTTTAATGGGGAGATAAGTATTAACCATATAAAATACATAAGTGTTGAGGGCTTTGAAGAGAATACTCAGGGGTCATGAGATAATATGGGAAGAAATGGTTTGATGAAGTGGGTTAAACAAGTTCTTCCTGAAATCTAAGCACTTTTTCATTGTTTTGGCAGTACTGAGGATTGAACATAGGGCCTCTCCAGTGATAAGCAAGTATTCTATCACTGAGCTACATTCCCAGCTAAATGTTTTCTTAAAGGAGGAATTAAAGAAGCCTCAAAAATCTTTTGGCTAATGGTACAAGAACTTATGTGAACCCCCCCTATACATACACAGTAGGGGTTCAGCCTAAGGCATTTGCACTGAGGTACATTCCTGGCCCTTGTTTTATTTTTATTTTAAGACAGTGTCACTAAATTGTTTAGGCTGGGCTTGAACTTGTGATCTTCCTTCCTCAGTCTCCCAGAGTGCTGGAATTATAGGTGTGTGCCACCATGCCCACCTCTGGCAGCTTTTTCGGTTTCTTTCAAACTGTGTATAATGGCCAGAAATATTTGCCAAGGCCCCAGCACTTAAACGTTGCTGTAAAAGTCAGCATTGTAAAAGTGCCTTAGTATTATAGTTTTGGCCTCCTGTAATCCCTTAAAAGGTTTCCAGGGACCTTTGGTAGTCCACTTATCTCACTTTGAGAAGCGCCATTTTTAAAGTATTACATGGATATTATATCTGGTTACCTGTTAAAAAAATTTTAGTAGCTGGACCTGGCAGTGCACTTCTGTAATATCAACTACATGGGAGGCTTACGCAGGAGGATTGCAGGTTCAAGGCCAGCCTAGGCAATTTAGTGAGATCTTGTCTCAAAAAATAAAAACGACTGAGGCTGTGTAATTCAGTGTAAGGTCCTGGGTTCATCTCCCAGTACTGGGGGGAGGGGGATTATTGTTGCAGGCCAGCACATTCCTAGGTTCTAAGGACATACCTGTAAACAGATAGATGGAAATACCTGCCTTTGTGGTACTTATTTTATGCCTTTTTATTTTCCTTAGATCATAATGATTCATTAGATACATAGTTTATTTTCTCCACCCATCTCTTTCTGGTATAATTGTATATGTCTTTCCTGGCTTTGTTTTTCTTGTTTGGTTCTGGTACAGACTTTCAACTTTTAAAAACATTTATTTGTGGTTTGGGATGTTTCATTTTTGTTGTTATTGTATATGTGATGGGGATTGAATCCAAAGTCTCACACATACTAAGTGCATATTCTACCACTGAGGTACACTCCCAGCCTCTTTTTTGTTGTTTCAATAAATAGCTTTATGTTTCCTGTTCTTAAGGTAATAAATACATGAATGGAATGCTTTATGGCCTCTTAAACTGAACTGAGTTGCTTTTTGTTTATTGATTCCTGTTTGATCAGTAGCCTCCATTAAGTGCTTCTTGAAAGTAAGCAAGAGAGCAGAGTGAAACCAGCTAGGACAAGTTTTTGTGTTATGTTGATTGTGACTGACCTATGACTTGCTAAGAAATGGGACCATTCTGAACTCACCCAGCAATTTCAAGAAAGGCGAGTGAGAAAGGGAACATTCTTGGCGTAGTCCCATGAGCACAGCAGATTTACTGTGAATTTTAAGGTAGGGGCATGAGAAATGTCAGGAGGACAAAGCCAAAAATAGTTGAAGAGAAACTTACAACCTTTTCATCACGTACACACACATACACAATCTTAAAAAGAGAGTGTTGGGGGCTGGGGATTTAGCTCAGCGGCACAGCGCCTACCTGGCAAGCGCGAGGTCGTGAGTTCGATTCCTGGCACCAGAAAAAAAAAACAAAACACACAAAAAAAGAGTTGTTTTTGAAACATTAACTTTAAACTGGGCATCATGGGGGCTGGGGATTTAGCTCAGCGGCAAAAGCGCCTGCCTGGCAAGCTCAAGGTCGTGAGTTCGGTTCCCGGTACCGGAGAAAAACCAAAAAAACAAAAAAAAAACTGGGCATCATGGCATATGCCTGTAATCCTTGGCAGGCACTTGGCAGGCACTTGGCAGGCTGGGGCAGAAAGATTCAGAATTCAAGGCCACTTGAACTAGACCATTTAGAGAAGACTGGTCTCAAAACAAACAGAAATACATATTTAATAGATATTCTTTGTACAATGGGAAATCAGAGCATATTTCATAGCTATTTTCATTTTTCATGTATAATTGAATGAAACAGTTTGTTTTAAATCTTGTTTCTCCCATTCATACTTGGTAATTGAGGTATTAGTATTTTTAAACTTCTAATTAAGATCCACTTGTCATTGAGTAGGAAAATAATGTGCTATTGGGTATCTAGTTTTACAATGCTATTTACAATAGCAAATATGAGATGAAATGTACAATGCAGAATTATATCATGTTATTGATAGTCTTATGGAAATACAGGTTAAGCACACTTAATCCAAAGTCTGAAATTTTTCGAACACTCACATGATGCTATGAGTAGAAAATTCTACGTCATGAAATTTCTATTACATACACAAAATTACTAAAAGTATTATATAAAATTATCTTCAAGCTATATAGAAGGTGTACATAAAATGTAAATGAATTTCATGTTTAGACTTAGGTCTCTCCCATCTCCAAGATATTATATATATGCAGATATAACAAGGCCTCCCTCCAAAATGTGAAACTCGAAAGACTTTTGGTCTCAACCATTTTAAGACATACTATAGTTGTATTAGCTTTACTAATAAGCTTAGATTTCAGTGTTTCATAGGTAAGTTAAAATTTGAGCTTCATTGGTCTTCAAATATCTGCTCTATTAAGTTGGACTAGTCTTTGTCTACCCCAAAAGTAAAAAAATGATTATATATTTGTTCTGATTTTATTATATCTTTGTACTGTTTTGTTTTTTTTTTTTTGAACAGTCTGAAACGGCTATATATGAATGGACTTCCAGCCCTAGACAGTTGAATGTTTTTAAGGAAATATTTTCGAAAGAAATTAGAAACTCTGTTTCTTAGACTTTTAAATGGAATCACACATGTTGACATTCAGACTGGATTCCGTTGTAGTTACAGTGGAAGCATCATGAATGTCTGAGAATGACGAGATTATGTGCTAGCCACAATCTAGGATAACGTGCACTTGAATGTTTACTCTGTGCTAGGTATTACTATGTGTAGACAGCATTCTGAAGAGAGGCAGATTAAAGCAAAGGCCTCTATAAGCATTTCCTCAGTGTCTCCAGACTACTACAGCATCAGATTTGTCTGAGATGCATGTTAAATTATTAGTCCAAATTATTTCTTTCATAGGTATAGTTGTTACCCTTTTTGTTTGTTTGTTTGTTTGTTTTCCAGTACCGGGAATCAAACTCATGACCTTGAGCTTGCCAGGCAGTTTGTCATCCTTGTTTTGAGAAGGAATTTCTAACACTGTTTCCTGTGATCATTTAAAACAATTGATTGAGCTGGGCGTGGTGATTGCACACGCCTCTAATCCCCAGCCCTCAGGAAGCTGAGGCAGGAGGATTGTTGTGAGTTCCAGACCAGCCTGGGCTACAAAGTGAGCTCAAGGCCAGCCTGAACTGCATAGCAAAACCCTGTCTCAAAAAGAAAAAAACAACAACAACCACAAAAAAACCAATTGATTGGGTTGAGCCTTTTTTTAGTTTTTGTTGTTGTTTTTGAGACAGGTGCTTGAACTTGCGAGCCTTCTCCCACAGCCTCCCACAGGCCAGACTTAGGGGTGTATGCTACCATGCCCAGCTGGGTTGAGCTTCTTTAAACAGTTTTACAGGGGCTGGGATTTAGCCCAGTTGCACAGCGCCTCCCTGGCAAGCATGAGGTCGTGAGTTTGATTCCCGGTACCGGAAAAAAAATTGAAATAAACAATTTTACAAACCAGATTTCATGGAATCAACAAAAAAAGCTTTTAAGTTTGATGGAAGTACATGATTCTAAATTCATTTTTTAAAATGTCAGCATTTTAAGTCATTCTACATTATCTTATGAATTAAGCCATACATATATAAAAAGGTATTTAACATCTTGTTTAAGAAGTATTCGTACCACCAAGAACTTAGTTATTGACCTGAACTGTCTTGTTTTGTTTGAGATCATTTCTCACTATGCAGTTTAGGCTGGCCTTGAGCTCACTTTGTAGTTCAGGAGGGCCTCAAACTTGCAACGATCCTCCTGCCTTAGCATCTCGAATGCTGGGATTACAGGTGTGCGCCACCACTCCCAGCACTGACCTGAACCATGAATTCTTTTTATTAGGTTTACTATTGTAAGTTTACTATTAGTCATCTTGTTAAAATTTGAAATATACTTACAAGGTGTTTAACCCCAAAGTTCCTTGATGATTTAAATAAATGGTTGAGAATTCTGTGATTGGCCAGTTTCAGTGAGAGCTTCCAGCTGTTGGGCTATAGCCTAGTGGCAAACTTCCAGCGTGTGCCTAGACAGTGATCTTTTGTCCCAGGGTCAGTGAAACCACTGGTTGGTGAATAACCTTGTCCTTTTACTTTAGATGTGTTGT